AGGAGCAGGAAGGCTGACGTTTCGGGCCTAGACCCTTCATCAGAAATGGGGGAGGGGAAGGGGGTTCTGAAATAAATAGGGAGAGAGGGGGAGGCGGATAGAAGATGGATAGAGGAGAAGATAGGTGGAGAGGAAACAGACAGGTCAAAGAGGCGGGGATGGAGCCAGTAAAGGTGAGTGTAGGTGGGGAGGTAGGGAGGAGATAGGTCAGTCCAGGGAGGACGGACAGGTCAAGGGGGTGGGATGAGGTTAGTAGGTAGGAGATGGGGGTGCAGCTTGAGGTGGGAGGAGGGGATAGGTGGGAGGAAGAACAGGTTAGGGAGGCGGGGACAAGCTGGGCTGGTTTTTGGATGCGGTAGGGGGAGGGGAGATTTTGAAGCTTGTGAAATCCACATTGATACCTGGATTGCTTTCTTAGGAAAATGGATAGCCATGTGTGCTGGAACATGATAAGCTTGTTGAAGTTACAACAGTATGTATTGAGGAAAGGCAATTGGATGCTATATTCAGTAAACTCAGGGATTAAGAAATACTTCCTGAACTTTGAATCTCCAGAAGTTGTTGGTTAGCATATGCATCGTTACTGGTTTGCTCCAGATAATGACCACTACGAGCCTCCTTGATTTCTTTTTAAGTGTCTATTTGCATTCTAATTGCTTCTTAAAAACTCACCAGAGAAAGTAAAGTTGGGATCCTGAGACACAGTGATAACATCCCTATCTCTACCTTGGATACATACACAAACCACAGACCAGGTCAAGGCAGACACTGGAGATGATCAAATGTTTATACTAGGGCATAAGCATCAGAAATAAAATACTGCATTTGAAGGTGGCTATCACAGCAGAAAATTACAATAGAACATCAAAAAGAACTAATGCCAGAAAATGGGGACAAACAGAATTCAGGCGTACAGAGTTTTCACAAACAATGGAATATCTTACCCTAGTTCCACAAATGAAGCCTTCAGACTATCAAGAGGTGCATGAGATAACGAAAGTGTGGTCATTACATCTTCCAAAAATCCCACGAGGAGTTTCCGGTCTTCTTCCTGCAGGACAGTTACGTTTATTCAGCATTTTAGTAAATTCATTAACTAAATCAAGAGGAAGTTGTTAAGTCTAAAATTACAAATGTCAATTTCCTTTACCTGATTGTAACAAGTGAGTACCCCTGTTGCATATATGGGAACTGTTGCCTTTGTTAGCACCCCATTGCCGGCTGTGGCCGATACGTCTTTTTGCAAAGCAAGAAACAAATGTCAATACATGTTATCCTATATCTGTTACAATTAATTCCCTTTTCAAAGGCCATTTGTTTAACTGTATCATAATTTTTGCACATTAAGAGGCCATAGCATTATATTTTGATACCTAAAATAGTTATCTTTAGAATAATTCAACTGAAGTTTTAATAAATCCAGCAGAACTTACAATAATTTCTGACACATAACCACCTTCTTTACAATCACATGAATAGCACAAACCTCTAGACTTTTTGCAACCTTATAGACAGAACAACTACGTTAAATTTTGTGCCATTCATTCATTGAATACAATTAATTTATTTTCCAATCCCAGGTGGTCACAGTCACCTCTCAAAAGGGCTGACGAGCACAAATTTTAAAACTATTTTATCAACAATGTGGAAACGTATATAATAACACAACAGGTTTCTGAAATTTTACAGTAATGCTTGTTAAAATTTTCAGAAGGCCAACTACTATTAGTGATTTTTAAAAAAAAAATTGAATTCTCAGATGTGCAGACTCAGAACATTTCAAAACAGAGCTGACATGAATTACAGAAAACCCTAACTCATATTTCTTCTATACTCTCTTCTCACCCAGAACTGTAAAATTAGGCTTTCAATAAAAAACCAGCACTGGATAGTTTAACAGAGTGGGCCGTGTGTGAGCGCGCTTACCAACAGCTTCTTCTGAAAGCCTTAGTATTTCTTGGAACTGTGGTTTTACCTAAGGTGTATAATACATCACATTAGATTAAAACAAAGGCAAAACTATTTAAAGTCAAAACAGAACTACATACCCACTATGTCAGTTGCATTTAAAACATAGGAATGGTAAATTAGATAATTAAGAAAAGCCTTCTCAGCAAGCTGAACAAAGATTGGACTTAAGCTTTTTCTTTAAGAAAAGAAAACTAAAAGTCGTCTGAGAAGAAATACACTTTTACTAGTTTTGATATTTTCGAATAGAAGAGAGGTATTATGAACAAAATGAGTAATTGTCAAAATCTAGGTTTGGACATCCAGCAGTGTTACTGGTTAAATTATCATTTCGACAGGAGCAGCTAGTGCATGTTCTGTCCTTTTGAAATTCAAGCATCTGATTATGATTTTAGATCAGACGCAATTGAAATTCAGTACAAGCCTCAAAGCCAGACACCCAGAGCTGCACTTTGACTCTACAAAAGAATGGGCATGGAGGAACAAGGTAATTTGATACTTTGCCATTCTACAGACAAATATAAACGGAAGTTTAATTAGACTTAGACAATAACTGCAACCCTAAAGAAAAAGATTTTAAAATGAATAAGCCTCAAAATAATATGCCCAGTTGCCAATGTGTTCTGACAATATAGGGCTAAAATGATCAACTATTTCATAAGATACAGATAACTCTTGCTATACTGGAACACATCTCAAAGACTATCTGGGTTTATTCTGTTAGTTTCTGGAGATCAAGGAGCATTAACGCGGAGACAGTGCAGAAAAATGGTGTTGAGGTGGAAGATCAGTCACGATCTAGTTGAATGGTACAGCAAGCTCTAAAAGGGGCAAAATGGGCCTATTTTCTAAGCTCCGAATGCAGAACTCACTCTCGAGATTAAATAGGAATTTCTTTAAGAGAGACATTGTAAACTGAACTATCACACGTAATTGTTAAAGTTACTCAATCATTTGCATTGTTCTGACACATATTTAAAAGAATAATTGGGTAAGCTGTGTAACTACTGACAAGGAGTTTAAATTAACACACCTTCGTATTTGTGAAAATTTTACCAAACGTCCGACACAGCCTCCAGAAATACCGGGAGAAATCATGGACACAGGATGTGGAGGTAACATTAATTTTACCAACAGTTTCTATCAAGTGTGGTAATCTGGAACAAAATAACGAGAGTCACTTAGAACATTTGCTCCATTTTGCGGCCGAAGCCTCAGTTATCTTCAGATGAGCAATAAAATTACCAAGGGCCAAGTAGTTCCGAGTGCTCCAACAAAATTTTTACAGTTTAAAATGTTGAGTTACTGTTAAGTTCAGTCTGCAAGATTTTACGTCATTGCACAAGAGTTAAAAAAAATTGTATTGAAATTAAAAGCCTCTTTTAAAGACATGAAGTTTAAAAACAAACTATTTTTCATATTTGAGATTACTTTCATCACTGTCATAGATAAATACGCATCCATGTCAAATGGCTCCTAAACTGACATCAATAAAAAAAACATAGCCAGTGACTTTGAAGGGACATTGGTAAAAAGGGGATGAGAGTGACCAACTCACAGCTGGTTAACGACCCACAGAAGGTTCTCCCAGCCAGTTGTGCCCTCATGTTCTAGTTGATTATCATAGAGTTGCAATAGCACTGATAACTGTTCTCGGCTTCCAATGATTGTCGCCACATCTTGAAGAGGGGAGGCCGGTCGCGGGAATCTTGTCACTAAAAGAATATAAAATTGATTCATGATTGAGACATATATATATGGCTGGTCATGTTCTCAAGAGAAGCATTTGCCAATGCTCCTCAAATTTTGTGGATGCATTAAAATTCATTAACTTTTGGCATGCTTGCTGAATTTAATCCTATAAGAGTAGAACATTCCCAATTTGGTCCCATTGCTGATCTCAGGTGGGTGCACAGCAGTCTCAAAAGGGCTTGTTCCTTGTCACATGCTTGGGTGCAGTGGCACTGGGAGCATGGTTTGCATTAGCTTCCCACTGATACAAAGTCCTGACCATTCTCAAATTCAGAAGTCACATGTCACCAGGTTATAGTCCAACAGGTTTATTCAAAACCACAAGCTTTTGGAGTGCTGCTCCTTCATTAGCTGCAGTGGGAGGGAAACACACAGGCACAGAATATATAGACAAAGAGATAAAGGTAATTAAGAGTGTGAGTGGCGCATTGACAGGTTGAATAACAAGTCTTTGCAGGTGATCAAGAGTGTCAAACAGTGCGAGTTAAGTGTCAATGGCTGAGTAACAAGTGAAGGGATGACCTATGAACCGATTAATTAAGGCAGAGGGACAATTAAAATATTCAAAAATAAGATGGTGCAGGAGACAAAGCAAATGGTTGGAATAACATGATAGGAATCAGAGTCGCATGAGAAAAGTCTAACCAAAGTAACAAGTAATCTAAAATTGTACAAACTAATTGATTTAGAGAGATAGTAACAAGTTATTAAGATAACACTTAACATTTGACACGATCACCTTGACACACTTAATTACCTGGAATTACCTTTATCTCGTCTATTTACTCTGTGCCTGTGCGCTCCCCTCCCACTTCAGCTGACCAAGTCGCAGCACTCCAAAAGCTTGTGATTTTGAATAAACTTTTGGACTATAACCTGGTATTGTGTGAATTTTGCTTTTGTCCACACCAGCAACTCCACATCATGCATAACATTCACAGAACACAATCAACTCTACCTTATCTTCCATAGAAAATGCTCTGCACAAATACATTTCAATTCCGTAATCTCCGATAATTAAGCAAATTTCCAAAACATTTTGTATTACTTAGAACTCAACCATTCAACCCTTATTGCTGGTTAGCTATCTTCCATGTGTGACATACCACCAAAAAACCATCCACCCTGTAACCATCTGGCTCACCTTGTTCATTGTGGCCCTCTGCATGAGCAATTCATTGAGCACCACTCCACATCTCTACCTGTAGCCCTTTACGGAAACTGATCCCATTCCCTTTTGAATGCCTTGATCGAACCTGTTTCCAACCTCACTTAGGCAGTGCATTCCAGATCCTAGTCACCTATGCATAAAAAAAGTTTTACCTCTTATCACTATTGCTTCTTTCAGCAATCAACTCCCATTTGGTTCTTAATCCTCTGGAACAGCTTTTCCCTATCTATTCATCCAGGTTCCTCATGATTTTGAATGCCACTATCAAATTTCCTTTCAATCTTCTCTTCTCCAAGGAAAACTGCTCCAACCTACCCACATAACTGAAATATTTCATCCTGGGACCACTCGCATGAATCTTTTCTACATCTGCTCTAACACATTCGCATCCTTCCTTGAACGTGGTGCCCAAAACCGGGCACGATACTGCAGCTGAGGGTCAACTAGTTTTATACAAGTTCAACATAACCTCCTTATTCTTGTATTCCATTTCTCCATTGATGAAACCAGGATGCCATGTGCTTTACTGACTGCTCCCTTAACCCCATCTTGCCATCTTGAACAATTTGTGCACGTACATACCAAGAGGCCTCAACTCCAGAGCTCCCTTTAGAATTGTACCCTTTATTATACTTTATCCCTTTGTATCTTTCCTACCAAATTTAAACATTTCACACCTCTCAGCATTAAATCTCGTTTGATCTCTCAGCATTATAGTTGGTTTGTCTAAGAACAGGAATCATTACCTTCTAAAGTACCCAGTATTAACATTTAACGAGATATTTTAAGGCAGATCGTGATGCATAAAGATAGCTTGGTAAATACGTTTGAAGACTAAAAAAGAAAACTACAATGGCGTATCAACAGGTTAAGTGAGCGGGTAAAGTTCTGACAAATGGAGAACAATGTGGGGAGATGTGAAATTGTCCAATTTGGTAGAAAGGATATAAAAGAAGCATATTACCTAAACAATGAGAGTTTGTAGAGTTCCTAGAGATGCAGAAGGATCTGGGTGTTCTCATACATGAAACATGACAGACTAGTATGCAGGTACACCAAATAATTAGGAAATAGAATGTTATTTATTAGGAGGGGAATGGAATATAAATGTAGAGGGGTTATGGTTCAGTTTACAGGGACACTGGTGAGACAGCATTGGAGAACTGTGTGCAGTATTGGTTACCTTATTTAAGGAAAGATGTAAATATTTTGGAAGTAGTTTACAGGTGGTTTACCAGAATAATACCTAGAATGTGCAGGGTGTCTTATGAGGAAAGATTGGACAGGCTTGCATTTGCTGGAGTTTAGAAGAGCTGACTTGAGTGAAACATGCAAAGTCCTGAGGGTCCTTGACAGAGTAGATGTGGAGAGAATGTCTCCTCTTATGCAGGAGACTAAGCCTAGAGGTCAGTGCTTAAAGATCAGGAGTCACCCTGATTCAAAGTCCCTAGACTCTATTTCCACTGCTTTTACAAGAAGAGAACTTTGAATAGTTTTAAGGTGGAAGTGGATAGGTTATTGACTAGCAAGGGAGCGGAAGGTTTAATCAGGGGTAGGTGGGGATGTGTTTTGAGGTTAGAGTCAGATCAACTATGGTCTTATTGAATTGAGGAGCCACCTTGAGGGGCCAAACGTCCCACTCCTGCTGTTAATTGGCAATGTAGTAGGATTAATGAGGCATAAATTTGGTCTACTTAATTTTATTATTTGGAAGCAAAAAACTTGAATGACCAAAATGTAGCACAAATCAAATAACGATGATAAATACCAATAGTTTGAAGGAAAAGTTTTAAGAGGATGGTTACACTGGGAGAGGAGAGGGCTAAGGTTGAAGGGAATTCTCTTGCTGGTCTTTCACAACTTGAAGACCCTGGAATCAGAGGAAATGTTATTCCCAACAATTCTTTTCTTGTATTTTCCATGGACTATCTGCTAGCTTATAGCAAATGAACAAGAAAATCTTGCGGTTATTCACCTAAAACTAATTATGAGTGTCATTAGAATGCTTGCTATACCCAACAAAACATCACATTGTCATTCAGCTCAAAGATAATTCTTATACCATGTACCAATCCTTAATTACTACTTCTCTCTAAATTCTAGGAGTGCATGTCATGAAGTAATAAGGTTCTCAATGTAGATGTGAACATGGGAAACTCAAAATAGTTACAATTATCAAGTGTGGCCTCACCAAATCTGCACTTGGACCATTATTATAAACACTGTTCAAGCAAATCACTGTACAATACAATACCCTCTATCTGTGGCACTTCTCCTTGAAGCTTTGCTTTACTTGCAAAAGGAGCATTTTTCAGAACCAGTGCAAAAAGTGGCGGAATTAGTGATTGCATGGCTGAAAGATGTAGGTGGAGTTTATGCTCGTCGAGTCCATGCTCTCCATCCTATATACAAAAAAAAAGTCGACAGAATAGGGTTTAGAAACAAATTAGGCCTCAGATTTGCATCAGTAATACACATCTTAAAAAGCAAATTTAGTATATGAACTACACAAAGTCAAATATCAACACAAAACATTTTAAACGTTCTACAGTGTTCATCATCACTTTGAAGATTGTCTTGCAGATCAAGTTAAATTTGTTTAATGAAAGCAAAGCAAATATTAACATATTTAGTTTTGAAAATTTCGAATTTCCGCATACAATCTGAATTATTTTACAAGGTTATATCCAATAAGAATATTCTGATATCGGTCTGTGAAAAGTGCTTACAAGTCAAAAAGTGAGAGATTTTACATACTTTATGTAAAAATGCTATGGTTTTTAGGATAGTTTCTTACAACACCATGTTCTACAGCTGCCCAGAGAGCTGGCCATACTAAATCTGGTACAGTGCAATGAGATACGATTAAATGAACGATCTCATAACAAAGACAGCCCCAGGCAGTAAAAGTGACATTTCATATTCAGTTTGAGGGAGAGAAAGTAAAGGACAAATAAAGACAAGTGAGGGCATAAAAGTAGAGCTGGCTTAGAGAATTGGTAAATTAGATTAAAGGATTGGTCAACAGAGATGTCATAAAAGACATTTAAAGGGATATTCAAGAATACATAGACTAGATACATTGAAATAGTAAGCAAAACTCCAAGGGTAGACGCAACATTTAGGGTTAACTAGAAAATGTCAAAGATAGCATCAAACTTAAAGAAAAAAAAACACTTGAACAAATGGTCAAAAGATTAATGAGAATAAAAATAGAGTCACAAAGAAAGCTAGACAAAAACATAAAAACAATAAGAATTTCTACAGATATTTAAAAAGGAAAAAGAATAACAATGTGCATTTACATACTGCCTAAACTGTCTCCAGGTCATTGTCAAATGAGATTTGAAATCAAGCAGCACCTGAAAAGCATTCTGGAGAGACAGCTAAAATTTGTTCAAATAAGCAAGTTTTAGACAAAGTCTTAAAGAAGCAGACAGGGGTAGGGAGACAAGAATGTTTTGAGGGGAATTCCAGACCTCGGGGCCCAAGAAGCTAGAGACATGGTCGCCAACTGTGGGGCCATTAGATTTGGGAATGGTCATGGGGCCCAAATTGAATGAGTGCTGAGTTCTCATGCAGATATAGGGCTGGGTAGATTGGGAGTGGGAAGGACAGGAGGGATTTGAAGGGAAAGGTGAGAATTTTAAAATTGAAGTAGCAGTGGACTGGAATCATAAACAAGTAACTACAGTAATGATTAATTAACTGGACTTGCATCAAGATTTAAAATATGATGTATCTTTTACACCTACCCTGAGTATTTTTTCAATGTTGCTTAGCAGAGTCGGAATGAGATGGGACTGAAGTTTACCCAGCTCTGTGGTCCATGCTGCAAAAGCTGGCAGGAAAACTTGATGCGTAGCATTAATTACCCTTTCTGAGGGGTCATTTAAGGCAGACATCTGCAATTCAAAACCCTGTGGTTGGGGAAGAGAAAGCCAATTTATATAGAGGAACAACAAAATGTGGGAATTTCCATGAAGATATTTGATCTGAATAGAAAGAAAATCCAAAAACTGTAGTTACTTGCAACAGTACTATACCTGCAAATATTTGTCAGGATCATCAATGTAAGCCATAATAATACCAAGGCTTTTAATGACTGCTTCTCGCACAAGATCTGCCTTATCCTCTGTCAACATCTGCTGCAGCATTGAGAGCACCAATGAACTGCGAATCTCTTTCTGGAAGTGGGAATCATCAATTTAGCGCAGTAATCGCTATGTTTATTCAGTCATTTTAAAACAGAAAAAGAGAGTTAAATGCTTCTTACAGGCAAGTAGGGTGCAAGGGCTCCACAGGCTTCAGCCACCAGCAATCTTCGCTCTGGATATTTGTGATTGATCTGGAGGAGGGGGGAAGATAACGCCAAGACATGAACAAAACGCTTGTTAATTTCCTTGTCTCTATGGTGACAAATACACCAGATTAAATCAACAATAGATAGAAAGATAGATAACAGGAAAATGAAGGCAGTTCAATTCACAAGCATTTTCACTGATGCTGTAAGATTGTGTTACAAGTGGTACCCAAGTGGAGAAAGTAGGAGTAACCAAATAAAGCATTTATCTTTGTATCAGAGATAGTAGGAACTGCAGGTGCTGGAAAATCTGAGATAACAAGGTGTAGAGCTGGATGAACACAGCAGGCCAAGCAGCATCATAGGAGCAGGAAGGCTGACGTTTTGGGCCTAGACCCTTCATCAGATTCATTTCTGATCCTGACCCCAGCCTTGGTTCAAACATGGAGTCCAAGTATCATTGACTGCATCTATACCTCCTGCTGCCTCGGGAAAACAACCAACATAATCAAAGACCACTCCCACCCTGGTTATACTCTCTTCCACTTTCTTCCGTTAGGCAGAAGTTACAAAAGTTTGAATACACGTACGAATAGATTCAAGATCAGCTTCTTCCCTGCTGTATCAGACTTTTGAATAGGCCTCCCAAATGTTAGTTCTGATATCTCTCTCTGCCCCTTCTCCTCAGCTCTAACACTGTATTCTGCATTCTGTTCTACTACCCTGACGCACTTTCTGTGGTACGATCTGCCTGTACAGCACACAAAATAACGCTTTTCACTGTATCGCACTACATGTGACAATAATAAATCAAACAAACATGGACAAAAGAACTGAATGCCAGAGGTGAGCTGAGAGCGACAGCCCTTGACGTCAAGGCTGTGTTCGACCGAGTGTGGAATCAAGGAGCCCTAGCAAAATTGGAATCAATAGGTACAAGGGGGCAAATTCTCTGCTGATTGTAGTCATACCTGAAACATAGGAAGATAGTTGTGGTTGTGGGAGGTCAGTCATCTCAGGAGTTCCTCAGGATAATGTCCTAGGCCCAACCACCTTCAATTGCTTCATCAATGACCCTCTCTTGATCGTAAGGTCAAAAGTGGGGATGTCACTGATGATAGCACAATGTTTAACATCGTTCATGACTCCTCAGTCCATGCTCAAATGCAACAAGATCCAACAATATCCAGGCTTGGGCTGACAAGTAACATGTGGGCCCTACAAATGCCAGGCTATGGCCATCACTGATAAGTGGTGATATAACCACTGCCTCTTGATATTCAATAGTGATACCATCACTGAAACTCCCACTAACATCCTTGGGGTTACCATTAACCAGAAAATTGGACTCACCACATAAACAGCGGTTACAAGAACAGGTCAGAGGCTAGGAATCCTGCCATGAATAACTCAAATCCTGAATCCCCAAAGCCTGTCCACCATCGACAAGGCACAAATCAGGAATGTGATGGAGTACTCTCCAGTCGTCTGGATGGGTGCAGCTCCAACACCACTCACGATGCTTGACACCATCCAGGACAAAGCAAGGGGTTGATTGGCACCACATCCACAAGCATCCACTCCCTCCACCACTGACACTCAGGTCCAAATCCATGGGCACTTCCATCTAGAAGGATAAGGGCAGCAGATACTTGGGAACACCACCACCTTCAAGTTCCCCTCCAAGCCACTTACCATCCTGACTTGAAAATAGTTCCTTCATTGTTGCTGGGTCAAAATCTTGGAATTCCCTCTCTAACAGCATTGTGGGTCAACCCACAGCATATGGACTGCAGCGATTCAAATGGTCAGCTCACCACCACATTCTCAAGGGCAACTAGGGATGGGCAATAAATGCTGACCCAGCCAGTGACACCCATGTCCCACAAATGAATAATAAAGTTTCAGGCACCTTATTTAAGGAAGAATGTTAAAGTCCTGGACAGAATTCTACAGAGATTTACTAGAATGATACCAGGAATGAGAGATTTTAGATAGAAGGAAAAATTAGAGAAATTTGGCTTATTATCCTTGGAGCAGAGAAGATTAAGTGGTGACCTTACTGAGGTGTTAAAAATTGTGAACAATTGTGACAGGGTAAAGAATGATATTCTGCTTCGATTTGTTGTTAGGTCAGTAAGTAGTAGTCACAATTTCAACACTGTCAGCAAAACAGCTAGGAGTGAGATGGAAATACTTTATTCAGACAGTGGTTAGGATTTGGAATGCACAACTTCGGACAGAGGTGGAGGCAGATGCTATAGGAGGTTTCGAAAGAGAGCCGAATTTTGAAAGTGATGAAGTTAGGAGGGCTATAGAGATAGGACTGGAGAATGAGACTAGCTTGGTATGGACATGATTGGCCTCCTTCTATACTGTAAAATTCAGTGTTCTATAAAGGCAAGGCAATGCAAAAAAGGAACCTCCAGGAATGTTCAGAGTGAGAGTGTGCTATGACACTCAGCATTTTGGGGATGCAGCCTGGTCCAATCATGAACTAGGTTCGTGTTGTCCCAGAGCACAGTTTCCTTGCTGAAGCATGACAATGATAGTAGCCAATGCAGCTTGAGGTGCAGCATTAAAATGCAGAACCGTCCTGTAAGCGAACAGCAAATGTGCCATGTGGGTTCTCAGAGGCTGGAACATATTGGATATCAATGTCTACCGACACGGAGAGTTGGTGGCCAATGGCCAGGAAGTACTGAAATGTTGGTACCTATTATACAGTCAGAGTAATACAGCATGGAAACAGAACCTTTGGTCCAACCAGTCCATGCTGGCCATAATCCCAAACTAAACTAGTCCCATCTACCTGCGCCTGGCCCATATCCCTCCATGTCCTATTCATTTACTTATCTAAATGCCTTTTAGATGTTGTAACTGTATCTGCATCCACCACTTCCTCTCAAAGTTCATTCCACATGCGAAGCACTGTGAAAAAACATTGCCTCTCGTCTTTTTTAAAATACTTCTCCTCTCACCTTAAAATATGCCCCGGGTCTTGAAATCCCCCACCCTAGAAAAAAAGATACCTGTCATTCACCTTATCTGTACCCCTCATTATTTTAGTAAACCTCCTACACTCCAGTGAAAAAATTTCCAGCCTCTCCTTAGAACTCAAACCCTCCATTCCTGACAATACTCTGGCAAATCTCTTCTGAACCCTCTCCAGCTTATGAATATCCTTTCTAAAACAGGGTGACCTGAACTGGACGCTGTACTCCCGAAGAGGCCTCACCAACATTCTGTACAACCTCAGCGTAACACCCCAACTCCTGTATTCAAAAGTCTGAGCAATGAAGGCACGCATGCTAAATGCCTAACCACCTTATCTATAGAGGATGCAAACTTCAAAGAACTGTGTACCTGAACCCATGGGTCTCTCTGTTCAACAACACTGCCCAAGGCCCTACTTTTAATGGTATGTCTCGTCTTTGTTTGTTTTACCAAAATGGAATAGCTCGCATTTATCCAAATTAAACTCCATCTGCCAATCCTCAGCCCATTGAATCACTTGATCAAGATCTCTTTGTAATCTTAGATAACCTTCTTCACTGTCCACTATACCACCAATCTTGGTGTCAACCGCAAAATGTATTAACCATGCCTTCCAAAACATTTATATAAATGAAAAACAAAGTGGAACCAGCATCAATCCCTGTGGAAAATTGCTGGTCACAGGTCTCCAGTCTGAAAAACAACCCTGTTGTCCAACATGGGGTTGCTTGAATAAGTGGTAGCTGAATTCGGCAAGTGTTTCATAGAATCATAGAATCCCTACAGTGTGGAAACAGGCCCTTCGGCCCAACAAGTCCACACTGACTCTTGGAGGATCCCACCCAGACCCATCCCCCACAACCCACCTAAGCTACAGATCCCTGAACACTACGGGCAATTTAGCATGGCCAATCCACCTAACCTGTTTGTGTGTCAAGTTTCTTGATGACAATCTTGCTTGGAAAGTTTGGTAAAACAGAGCCAGAGTATTAATGAGGCATTAACAAAGCATTTAAACAATAATCACCATCAACTGGCAGCTCACTAGTGCCTTGTGAGAATTTCACCCTGTCACTTGTGAAAAGTGCTAAAGGTAGCGAGAGTTGCTCCTGGTGTCAAGATTGGTCTTGTCACCTGATTCTGCCAGATATCTCGCCACAGCCCTGTAAATATTTCATTCTTTTGAAAGTGCCAGGGTACAGCTGGTCAAATATTCTTCAGCTGTGACTCCAAAAGCAGCCTCCGAAAAGCATCAACCCAATGGGTGGATCTGCTGTGGCTGAGAAACACCTCTGTGGTCTCAGAAACTGTAAAACATTTATATTACTGAGGTAACCATGGTAATATACATTCCACTCTGCTGGCCTATGTAGGTGTCACTTCATCATTAGGCTTTCTAATGAGGTTTTGTAACTAGTTCATTGATGCTTCACTCGGGGGAAATCCAACTTCCCCATTGTTATCAATAAAATAACTTCACGATGAATAAAGGAAGTCCTGAGGAAGTACTGTGCTAAATCTACATTAGGCTTCACCCTTCAGGAGGTTTTTCATAAATGAAGGAAAAGTATCTTGAGCACTGGTGATAGAATAATCAATTACATTTGTAACAAATTTGGAAAATGAATGCAAGGAGTAAGATGGAGTTCATCAAACTGAACCGACACGCCTATGGTAACCCAAGGCATTGTTGTCAATTGCACAGGACACAAACTTCAGGAGTATTTTTTAAGAAAAGCAAAATAAATAAACTGAAATTCTCAATAGTGGTATATGAAAGTTAGGGATTTCACAAGAGAACCTAATATATCTAAAACTCTAATGCAGGAGAGACAAACAAAATGAGATAGTTACAATGGCAGAAAGGGAGCCAAAGATGCAAATGTCTTCAGATGGCAGAGTTGATGGGGTGATTTTCCACAATAGTGTCAAAATCCATAGATGTGTCAAAACGGGTTTTATAAAAAAAATCTGGCTCCCCGAGTTCCCCAAATATTTGAGGGCTATGTTCCATAAATTCCTTTTGCAACATTAACCACAACATCTCTATTTTCCCCTGGCATTCACATGGCCAAGATTCAAATGCTTGATTCAGTTGGATTGGCTCAGATTGTTCTGCAATGACAACCTGCCGAGCAGCAATTATCAAACATCTTAAAGCTCCAGATTTTATATTCGCATGGGTACCAAATCATTTCTGCAATTAGATTCTTTAAATCAAATACAGTCTTCACCAAGTCACTTCTATTACTTTAAAGCTCAAGTTGTAAAAAATTAATCAGCAAATGAGAAGGTAATTACTGAATCTGGTGGCTACGTTTTTTTTTTAAAAAAAAAGTTAGATGTTGCACTTACCTGCTCCCAGCACTGTGGTAAAAGTTCAGCCTCAACACGGGTAGGTCCAACATGCCGAGCAAATGCTACACAGCCTGTTAAAATCATCTGTCTGGATCGAACCGGAAGAAAAATTCTAGATTATTGACAGAGAGACTATGCATCCTAAAAAAAAAACACTCAGCACATTTGATGAAACCAGTTCAGATCCCTTTCCATTTTGTTAGCCAGTCCACTATCTCACAAATAAGGGTTCCCCAAAACGTCGAGTCGAATGCAAAATGTTTTCTTAAGAGTTGAGAAATGGTTTATCCAATGAACAAAAGGGAGACACATCAAAAACTGTGGTTTACCATTGGCTTTAGTTTCCACGTAAGCATTATTATAGATGGAATATTTTCTTCAAAGTGTTTCCACCAAAACTACTCTTCATTCTTGATGACTATAATTGATTAAACTCAATGCGAATTATTTATCTGGTTTAGGATATTGATTTAGCTGGTACCCTACTGTGGGATCATAACTGAAAGGAGTAAACCAACAGGTAAGAAAGGCTGAACTTTTTTGAGGATGAAGAAGTCTGAAGATTTATATTTTACAAGAAAAGGTGGGCAAGCGCGGGGAATAATTGCTGTAAATGGGTTAGAGAACGAGCGGTGGAAGAGTGTTCGAGGGTGTGCTGTGAGGAGAATGCAGAGATGTTGCAGTGTTATTTGGACAGGCTGAGCAAGGAGCCAAATGCCTGATAGATACAGTACAAGGTAGATAAATGTCAGGTTATCTACTTTAGCAGCAAAAATAGGAAGGCAGATTATTATTTGAATGGTTGTAAATTGAGAAAGGGGAATGTTCAATGGGAGTTGGGTGTCCTTGCGCACGATTCACTGAAAGCAAACTTGCAGGAGCAGCAGGCAGTAAAAAGGCAAACAGTATGTTGGCCTTCATAGTAAGAGGATTTGAGTACAGGAACAAAGATGCCTTGCTGCAATTAAACAGGGCATTGGTGAGGCTGCACCAGGAATGGCATATATAGTCTTGGTCTCCTTATCTGAGGAAGGATGTTCTTGCAAACGAGAGAGTGCAGCAAAGGTTTACCAAATTTAATTCTTGGATGGCAGGATGGACGTATTAGGGGAGATGGAATCAGTTAGGATTGTTATTCACTGGAGTTTAGGAGAATGAGGGGGAATCTCAGAAGGGTATAACATTCAAACAGAACTAGACAGGTTAGATGCAGGAAGGATATCCTCAATGTTGGGGACAGTCCAGAACCAGGGGCCGTAGTTAGAAATTTCTTCACCCAGAGTGGTGACCCTGTGGAATTCACTATCACAGAAAGTGGTAGAGGCCAAAATATTGTGTTTTTGAGGAGGTAGGTAGGTACAGCTCTTGTGGCTAAAGGGATCAAGGGATATGGGAGGAAGGCTGGATTAGAGTATTGTGCTCCAGGATCAGTCTTGACCATATTCAATGGCGAAGCAGGCTTGAGGGGTCAGATGGCCTATTCCTGCTCTTATCTTCTATATTTCTATTTAAACATTTAATAAAAATAGTGCACTTTTCAATTAAAGCAGTGCCTAAAGGACCTCCTAAAAAAGGTTGTTCTGTTGGTCCAGTCAACAACAGCTATGCATTGAGACAAGAGCATATGCATGCCAAGGAAATGTGGTGACTGTTGTTCAGGAGTGAGTTTATTAGATACACAGCAACTGCTCTTACCTTTGTTCATCATCTGGACGTTTAATTAGGTTGAACAGAATGTGTAGAAGCTGATCCCTCTCCTTGGGTTCAGGGTGGAGGCAAGCTGTACACAGGATTAGAGGAATTAGCTCCTAAGTCAGGGAGGGAAAAGAAACAGATAAATAACATGCAATATAGTATTTGCATACAGCTGGTTTATTTTTATCTACAAAAAAAAAAAATCTTTGACATTGTCATTCAACAGGTTGTCCGCGTCCATTGTTGTGAGTTTCATAATCAGCAGCAAAACACTAGTCCTCATCCTGAAGCATGACTTGGTGACTTTTTCCCCCCTCCAGTCCTACTGCTGATTTCACTCTCCTGATCTTTTTAATGGTGCCAATGAAGCAGTGATCATCACTGAGTTACTGGGTGACTAATCTTTTTGCTTGCTGAATTTTCCGTAAATCCTCTGATGCTGAACTTGCTAGCTTCTCTTTGCAGTGCACTCTTTCTTACATTATAACTGTGACCAGCTTCAAAACTACTTAGATAACAAGGTGTAGAGCTGGATGAACACAGCAGGCCAAGCAGCATCAAAGGAGTAGGAAGGCTGACGCTTTGGGCGAGACCCTTCTTCAGAAATGGTTGATGATTGACTGTTCTCCGCTTCCTCACGTTGTTGCCAGTTTTTTATGTCTGTCACTGAAAATCCTCATCCTGATGATCAAAATCCTCCTTATTCCCTCAGTCTCTTCCATATCTCTACAAATTCATTCATCCCTACAGCTCCCCAAGATCCCTGCCCTCTTCCAATTCTGGCTCCTCGCGCATCCTGAGCTTTTCCTAGGCCCACCATTAATGGTGATAGTGCCTTCAGTAGCTCAGACCCTTGGCGAGGAATTCCACCAATCCCTCTCTTACGTTCATCACCTCTCTGTCCACCTTTAACACATTTCTTAAAATCTACCTCTTTAATTCATGCCTTATGCGATCTGATGTTAAACATTGTCTAACGATGCTCCTGTGCCTTGAGATGGTTTACACTACATAAATGCAATTATTGTTGTGGACTTGGCTTTACAGGTATTTTGTTTCAATAGACTCCAATATCTTTAGATCTTAATTTTGGCTCTAGTTTACATGATTTCCATATTGTGATAGATTACCTTTTTTTCCTTTTGTCTCAACTCCCTGCAGTTTAAGAATATGGGTTTGTGTCGTTAAACTCATGGCTTTTATTCTGTTGTTTGATGCTCACTTTGGTTTGCCAAATATTTGTCAGCTTAACACTACTTCCTTCTTAAAGATCAGCATTTTCTTCCATGCATTACAAAGTGAGTTAACACTTTAAGGGAACAGTCAGACACCTGGCATTGTACTAACTACAGCCAAGGTAATCCCTGGGATTTCCACAGTTAAAACTCTACAGTACCTGTGGCCTCACCTCCAGCCTTGTCTTGAATTGTATTAGTTTTATCTGTGATGTGTGCAATGCTGTCTAGGTTCACACAGAACTTTCCTGTAATCTGGAGAGTTCTTTTGGAGAGATTGTTGTGGTGCCAAGGTAGATGTTCTACTCTCACACTTGGAAGCAACAGTACCAGCAACTCCTTTACAGCCTGCTTGTAACTTAATAACGTGAACATGAATGGCTACTATTTGCAAAATGGTTTCTTTGTTGTTTAATTAATTGTTCTACATCTTAAGACCTTGAAGAACACCGTAAGCTATTCTGCACTCTATAACTGCAAAATGACTGGTTTCCTAGCTGGGAGGATGGGTCAGCATCATTGAAATATACATTCTGCATCATTCTCTACCCCATAATCACAATAAGATTGTGGCTGTTTTGAACCTGGCCTCATCTCCACTTTCTTGGCTGCTCCCTCTCCCTCCCCACCTTACACTTCACCTGACGAAGGAGCAGTGCTCCAAAAGCTTGTGATTTCAAATAAACCTGTTGGACTATAACCTGGTGTCTACCCCTGTCCAACACCGGCACCTCCATATCATGATTGTATACTTTATACTCTTATCAATCAAAAATCTGACAAAACTCAATGACCTAATCTCCCGAGATCTCTGGGGTAGCGAATTCCAAATACTGATGACCGTCTCAAAGAGGACATTTCTCCTTGCCTCTGCCCAAATGGAAGATTCTATACTTTCAAACTGTGTCCTCTAGTTTCAGATTCCTCCAGGAGGGAAAACATTCTCTCAGCATCCAGTGTGTCAGAACCCTTTGGCAACTTGCGTGTTTCAATAAGATCAGCTCTCATTTTTCTAAATTGCAAGGAGTATCAGCCCAGTCTGCTCAACCTTTCTGTGTAAGACAACTCCTTCATCCCCAAGAATCCGTCAAATGACCCTTTCCTAAACTGCCTTAGATACAACTATATCCCTCCTTAAATAAGGAGACTAAAGCTGTACTCTGGGTGCAGTCCCACCATGTTCAGGTGTCAATACATACACATACATAGGAATTAGGAGCAGGCCATTCAGCCCTTTGAACCTGACCTGTACTTCAATAAGATTACAGCTGATCTGAAAACTTTAGCAAGAATTTTGCACAACAGTCAGCTGTAATTACCATACTCGTGCCCCTCAGTTTTGGACATCACCTCTCGTCCATAAATCCGTTACTTTGTAAAACTGTTATCTAGCTCCCTCATGAATTTGTTGATGTTTTCCACCTCCCTGGCAATCTTCCCCGTCTTTTTCCAGTCACCCATTCTCTTTATGAAGTAGTTAAATGCAAGAAAGAAGGCTGGTATTGCTAGAGCATTTCACAACGTCAAGATGTCCCAAAGTGTTTTACAGCTAAGGAAATACTTTGGATGTGTACTCATTGTTCTGTTGAGGATGCACTCCATTCAATTTGCAGGTAGAAAGCTCCCACAAACAGCAATAGAATAATGGTCAGACAGTCAGCTTCTTTGTGATTTCCCTAGAAGGACAGATATTGGCCAGGACTCCCCTGATTCTTTTCAAACTACTGTCATTTTATAACAAAATCAGAGGGCAAACAGGGCCTTGGTTTAACAACTTACTTTGAGGATGGGGTCCCTGACAGAGCAGTATTTCATGGAGTCACAGGCCTACAGTTTGTGCTGGAGACCTGGGGTGAGACAGTAGCCCCCAACCCTCTGTTTCAGAGGAATGATGATTATCCATTGGCAGCTGATTGTGGAGACCACCATCTCCAACATTTACTCCCTCCACCATCAATACTGAGTAGCTGCAGTTGGTACAATCTACAAGATGCGCTGTAGAAATTCACCCAAGCCCTTAAGCAGCACCTTCCAAACCTGCCACTTAGAACAATAAGGGTAGCAGATACATGGGGCAATCACCATCTGCAAGTTCCTGTCCAAGCCATACAGTATCTTGTCTTGGAAATATATCACCATTCCTTCCCTGTTGCTGGGGTCAAAAACCTGGAACTTCCTTCCTAAAAGCACTGTGGGTGAGCCAACACCGTATGTACTGTAATGAAAGTCTCATACCTCCAGAGAACCATTGTCTGCTCTCTCATTAGAGAGAGAGAGAGAGAGAGAGAGACCTGCCAGAGGGTTTAACCCGAGGGTCACCACACCTCGGGTACAGTTGAGAAGGAGGGACCTACATGGTCACCTCGGCCTGTAGCAGAATTGAAGCCACGCTGTTGGCATCATTCTGCATCACGTACTCGCCAACTGAGCTAATCGACCCCTTGCTGTGTTTCATAACAGCTCACTGCCACCTTCTGAAGGGCAATTAGGGACGGGCAACAAACACTGGCCTTGTCAGCATTGCCCATATCCCATGAAGGAATTAAAAAAACACTTGCATGCATGTGGGAATACCCCTTGAGGACAGAGTTTGTTGTGGTGCAGTGGGGTAATGTTTGCCTTTTTCCTCTTAGAACCCATAAAGGCTAGTCACCACTGAGCCACCTTTCCTCTGGGTGACACTCCCAGTTTCTTTTTACTTAAGGACACTTGTAGCAGTGCCATAGGTGCTAGCATCATCACGAATGCTCATATCCAACAAAATGATATATTTTTTAAAAAATCTCAGAATGTACGAACATATCTACAGACAAGACAAATAATTGTTGGCCATTCAGCCCCTTGAGCCTGCTCCACCATTCAATACCATCATAACTGATCTGATGGTAGTCTCGACATCACTTTCCTGCCCGTCCCCTGATAGATTTTTCACTGACAAGGGACCCAAATGCCATCTGAGTTCTGATTTGATTTATTGTCGTCACATGTAACTAAGTACAGTGAAAAGTTTTGTTTTGCATGCAGTACAGGCAGATCATAGCATACAAAGATCATTGGGTGATTGAACAGAGGGAGAAATACAAGAGTTACAGTTGCATAAAAAGCAAGACAAACATTAGATTTGAAATTTGAGAGGTCCGTTCAGAAGTCTAATAACAGCAGGGAAGAAACTGTTCTTGAACCTGTTGGTGTGTGTGTTTAAGCTTTTGTGCCTTCTGCCTGACAGAAGAGGTTGGAAGAGATTATAACCAGGGTGGGAGGGGTCTTTGATGAAGTTGACTGCCTTTCTGTGGCAACGAGAAGGGTAGATGGAGTCAATGGATAGAAGGCTGGTTTGCATGAAGGTCTGGGCTGTGTTCATGACTCTCTATAGTTTCTTACGGTCCTGGGCAGAGCAGTTGCTGTACCAAGCTGAGATGCATTCAGATAGAATGCTTTCTATGGTGCATCTGTAAAAATTGGTGAGGGTCCTTATGGACATCAATCCCCACCTTTAAAGTATTCAATAACCCTGCCTCCAATGCTCTCTGGGGAAGAGAATTCCGCAGGCTCACAACTCTCTTAAGGCCTTGGTAGTGCATCCTGATCTTACAAATGCAAGGACTTGTGTTGGAATTCCTAACTATTGGTCACGTAAGCTGTGCACTGCCCAGAATTCCTGAAACAGCTCTGGTTGGTTGTCTCAACAACTCTTGGAATTAGTTCCTTAGGACTGACTACACAGCCTGCTTTCCTATCATTTTACCAATGAAACAAGTGCGGTCCTTTGAAACCTTAATGTGGTGCTCAGAAAAAGGTGCGGAAGTGCACCATACTGGTCCTCCAGCCTGTACCCACGTTCAATACAATCATGGGCGATAAGTTACATCAACTTGACCTTCTTACTCAATCCTAAGTTCTCTTGGATCCCAAAAATCCATCTCAGTATTGAATCTAATCAACGAC